TCCCTTTGTCCTTGGATTTTAAAACATCTGGGAAGTTTTCTTTTATATTCTCTTGAAGTATGATGTCTTGGCTCTGATTTTTGCATGGCTTTTCATGATGTTTTCCAAGTCAGTTGTTTTTTCTATGAGATACTATACATTTTCTTCTATTTTTTTTCAGTTTTGTGACTTTAATATTTCTTGTTGTCTTATGTAATCATTGGCTTCTATTTGATCCATTCAATTTTCAGGGAGCTAATTGCTTGTTTTGTACTTCTTGTGCCAAGCTGTTAATTCTTCTTCCTAGTCTTTCCACTAGAGCTTTCCTTTCTTTTCTAATCCTTTCCTCTAGAAAGGAGGAAATTATAATTAATTATATAATTAATTTATAAATGTAATTTTTAATTTCCTTTCTTCCTGAATTTCTAGTTGACCTAGTGGCCAACCTATGTTTATCTTTGAGACTTTGTAGAACTTGAAGAGTTATTTTCTTCTGGGTTTGTGTTTTGGGAGTCCCATGCTTCATAAAAAGTTAACATTGGTTTCATTTTTGTTCACTCATTCTTCTAGGCTTACATGCTGAATTGAAACTTTGTGTTTGGGCCAGGCTCTGTAAGGAGAATTCTGGAATGTTGGGGCCTTATTTGGTATGTATTTCTATTATCTCAGGTTCTGCTGCTGCTTTTACTGCATATTAAGTACTATGTATTTTCTGGATCTTAGGGCAGCTAGGTGGTGCAGTGTATAGAGCTCCAGGCCTGGAGTCAAGAAAACCTGAGTTCAAATCCAGCCTCAAGACTGAACTGAATCTAAGACACTAGGATCCAGGGTTAGGTCAACACAGCCAACAGTTCACTTATTTTCCTACTCCCCGCCCTATATACAGGTACAGGTCCCAGTCCAGTCCCCATGCTGAAAGGCTGTTCTTGGGCCTCCTTAGTTGTACCCCCTGTCTTATTACCTATAAGCTTTCAGGGCTTGAAAAATGAACCACTGTGAGTTTCTCCTTGGATTTCCTAATCATCACTCAGTCTGGTGCTCTTCCTCAATCTTTGTTGGTAGAGAGAGAAAACGCTGAGGTATATTGTTTCCTCTTACTCTACTCTGGGCCTGTTTCTCTTCTCCTTCTACAAAGGTGATCTTATTAGATCTCATGGACTTAACTACCATCTCTATGCTGATGATTCTCAAATCTACCTATCCTACCCTAACCTCTCTGCTGACCTCCAGTCTCACATCTCCAACTGCCTACTGGACATCTCAAACTGGATATGCTGTTGCCATCTTAAACTCAACATGTCCAAAGTGAACTCATTATCTTTCTGCCCAATTTCTCCTTTCTTTTAATTTCCCTACTACTGTTAAGGGCACCACAATAGTCCCAGTTACCCAGGTTCACAAATGTCATATTCAACTACTCACTATCATTTACACCTCATATTCAATCTTTTGTCAAGGCCTCTTGATTTCACCTTCACAACATCTCTCAAATACACCTCCTTCCCTCTTCTGATACTGCGGCCACCCTGGTCCTCATCTCATACCTGGACTATTGCAATAGCCTGCTGGTTGGTCTTCCTTCCACAAGTCTCTCCCCACTTTAATCCATCCCCCTGATTTTCCTAAAGTCTAGGTCTGACAGCATCACCATCCTAGTCAACAAACTCTAGTGTTTTCCTAACGCCTCCAGGATCAAATACAGAATTCTCTGTTTGAAATCCAAAGCCCTTCATAACCTAACCCTCAACTACCTTTCCAATTTTCTTATCTACTCCCACATCACCATGTACTCTTCAGACCAGTGACATTGGCCTCCTTTCTACTCCTTGAACAAGACACTCCATGTCTCAGCTCCAAGCATGTTTTCTACCTGTCCCTCCTGCCTGGAAAGCTCTCCCTCTTTTTCTCTACTTCCTGGCTTCTCTGACTTCCTTCAAGGCCCAGCTAAAATCCCACCTTGTATAGGAAGCTTTTCCTAATCCCTCTTAATTCTAGTGCCTTCCCTCTATTGATTAAAATAGCAATTGTTCCTGTTCTGGCCAGAAATTCTTGTCTTCCTCTCCCAGACGGATTCTTTTATGAAGGCAAACTAGGCCATCTTTTGTCTCAATTCTTACCTAGATTTTAATTACTGAATGGGTGCTGCCTCAAACAAACTGAGATCTGGGAAAGACCTTATCTTAAAAAGGCCAACTGCATCCAAGGCCATCACCAATCATCCTGACACATGTCTTGCCACCGAACTATAATGATTCTGGAGGAGAAAGACTGATGACTTTACACAGTTTTGCCTCACTTAAATCCAATTCACTTGAAAGTCGAGACATCATCCTCCTGATGCCATTGGTTCTCTTCAAGAACCAAGGACCAACAACAACAATTTCCTATTTATCCTGTATATAGCTTGTCTGTATATAGTTTTTGCATGTTATCTCCTTCATTAGATTATGAGCTCTTTTAGGGCATGAGATGTCTTTTGCCTTTCTTTATATCCCCAGTGCTTAGCACAGTTTCTGGCACACAGTAGGTATTTAAATAAATGCATACTGACTAACTTATTTCATGTTACATGCTAAAGGGTTTGTACTGATTTGCTCTTTTTCTCTATAAGGGTTGAATGATTAGGACACGTTTTTGTGGTATGCCTTTAACTTTGGTATGAGAATGCAAGGGATATGTTTGGTTGGGCAACACATAGGGTGCACAAGTTGAAAGTACCAACTTCCAGATTGGGGCTGGGGGGAACAAACTGTATGTTCTTTGGGAGCTTACCAAGCTATTGTTTAGCTTTATAAATGATTCTAAAACCTTCTCAACAAATAGAATCTTAAGCCTCTTCATCATTTTTCCCTAGAAAAATAATCTGGTTTTAATCCAGTCATGAGGGCAGGTTGGAAAGTAAGAGTGAATAATTATTTTGGTTTCACTCCCCAGTCTGACTTCCTGATCCTTGCTATAGAGTTGCACAGTGACATCTAGTAATTACACTTACATACTCTATCAATAATCACCACCTTCATTGTTGTTGTTGTTCGTCCTTCGTTCTTGAAGAGGACCGTGGTATCAGGGAGGCGATGCCATGACATGCAAGTGAACTAGATTTAAGTGAGAGAGGACTGTGCAAGGTCACCAGCCTCACTTTCTCCTCCAGAGCCATCTGGGTCCAGTGGCCAGATATAGATCAGGACAACTGGAGATGGCCCAGGATGTAATTCTCAGGAGTCTAATTTTAATAATCTAACCTCAAACAGGGCAAAATCCCAGGCCTGGAAATTTGAAATCAAGCATCCCACTCCTGACTCTACTATGAACACCACTATAATGTATACCTATAGTCTTAAGGGGGCATATCATAACTCCATGAAAATTCCTTGAAGGCAGGGACCATGACTCCTTCCTCTAGTTCTCTCCATATTATCTAGTCACAGGACTTTGCAAACAGGGCAGAAGTGGTATTGACTAGGGGAGAGAGGAGCTGGCTTTAATCACTACCTTCATCGGAGCCAGTGGAACCATGCACTGACTGACTCTTTGTGAAGTAGGTCATAAAAGGAATTTCAGAGTCCTCATATGAACCTTTCTAAGTTGCTCAACAGGGGATTATTTGCCATAACATAAAATGTGGCCCAGAAAACAGCCTACCCACTCAAATAGGAAACCTGTAAGGCTAACTTGGGGTAATCAGTGCAGAATTCCCAGTAGTGACTATTCATTAACAATTTTAGCTGAGCAATGACTGCTGAGAGATCAGGAACTTGGCTAGCAAATTTCTCCAAGACACTTATCAAGCTCCCAGTTTCCCCAAGAGAGGTGGCCTCTACCTGCCCTTGCAACCAGATATTTTCCTGTACTTCTCTATTAAGACAGCAACTCTAATCTAGAAGCACATTTTCAATCGCTATCTGACCCAGTTTATGCTTAGAGTATAGTATTCCAACTTTATAATTCTGAAAGCTACGGCTAGAGAGTACACAGCATAGTGATTGGATCCCTTGAGCTTAGAGTGGGGAATTTTCATGGAGTTTATGAGACTATGCAATCCCCACTCCCCATTCAGGGATAGTACTAACTGTAGGACAGGGTTTGGGCCTTAACAGTACTTCAGAAGTGGGCTACAGTGCTAGTGAACTAGCCTGGTCAGAAAAATTCCTAGCGGTAATTAAAGTCAATTCATAAAGTACCAAAAGGGAAAGATAAGTTAGACAGAGAAGAAAAGATTTGTTGAAGTCACAGATTAGAGAAACCTCCAGGAAAGAGACAGCAGAACAACCACAAGTTTAATGTAAGCAACCTGAAGCCAGAAAGGAAAATGTATTTCTCCTTCAGGAGCCAAGTAACCAAGGTAGGTCCCAGAGAATAAAAGGTCCAGTTCAGCATTAGTCCAGAAGAAACCCTTAAGCTAAAGTCAGGCCTGGACTGAAGATATTAACTGAACTGGAACATATCTATCTAGAGCTAAAAATCTAAAAGCCATCAAGTTTTTAAAAATCTGTCAAATAAGGGTGTTGAACTTGATGATTTCTAAAGTTTGCCCAACTGTGAGAGTAAAACATAGTGATCTGGCTTCAGGGCAGGTGATGGGGAAGAAAACAAGGTCCATTGGGAAAGAGTTGGTAGTGACAAGAAGAAGACAATACCTGAAGTCCAAGAGCCAAATTGAGGATCACAGTAACTGGCTCCAGATAAGACCAGATTACTAACATCTACTTTTATGATCAGTTCTCAAAAACATGCCTTCCCCTGCCCTCTCCGCCCACCAATATTGGCTCAATATTTACTATTAGGGCTTTGGATCAGCTCTATCCACACCAAACACAAATTCCATAAAACTCTTCCCTGGAGTCACAAAGAAGATGCTAAACCACTGTGACCTAGGATACAGGGGTCCCCTTCCTATTCTTGGCCATGCCACTTTCCCCCTACCCCTCCAATGCCCTGGTCCCCACCTCCCCTGCTCACTATTCCAAGGCTAGTCAGGCCTCAGCCACAGCCAAAATGATAGTGTTTGCTTTGCCACATACCTGAGGATTGGGAAGGATTTATAGGAATCTGGAGATCTGTAGACTTCATAACCTTTCACACCAGGATGTTAGAGAAAATGCAGAAAACAAGAGAAGAGGGGGGAATGAGCATTAGACTGAGGGATGGGGGGGTGGATAAATAAGGAGGGGACAGGAGGGAGGAAGGAATCAAGGTGGTCCTTAGGAATATAGTTTAGGTATATGAATGCTAAGGGGGATTGAAGGAGCTAGAGCTGGGACCAGAGTTCCTACCACACAGAATTTTGGTAGGGTATAAAGCCTGGCCACACTGATGTTTACAACTTCACTGAGGTCTATCCCAACTACTGTGTGTCCTAGAATTATATTCCCTTCTTAGACCCCACCCTTGATTCAGTTACCTTTAGAGCTGAGGTCACCACAGCATTCAACCACCCAGATAAGGTCTGGGCCATCTGCTCTGCACTTGGCACCACGAGCAGTTTTCCATCTTCACCAAAGGCCAACTTTCCTGTCAGCAAGGCAACCCGCCTTGGAGCCTGGAACAGAGCCAGGAAAAATCATTGGGGGTAGTCTTCTCCAGTCTTTCCTGAACTTTGTACTTACCACCTACTACTCTGCTTTGCCCTCACCTGTAGGACACAAGTAACAAATGTCACCAGCTCACTCTCCAAAATAGAGACCAGTTTCTGGCAGGTCATATAGTCAACCAGGCGAGCAAGGCGTCCCAAAAGTTGCCACCACAGCTCAGCTCGGTTCAGCTTCTGCATTAGCTGCTGCCGACGAAACCACTTTCGGTACATGGAGCCCTTTGCTGAACTGTACTCAGAGAAGCTCTCTACTCGCTCCTGCAGGCCCTGCCGCATCCGATACGTGTCTTCGTGCACCTGGTACACAAGACAGAAAGACAGTACAGCACAGCCACACACCCAACACCTACAGCCCAACCCAGATCTAAGTCCAGCATACCCCAAAACCCAGACCATTTATACACAAAGCAAGTACATGTGTAGGAGAATGAAGCTTTAACAGAAGTAGGGGGGAAAAAGCATTCTGGAAGGATTCCAAACTGTCTACCCCAGTTAGAGCCCCTCTATTTAGGTCTAGAAATAGAGAAGTAGGAGAAAAAACTTTCACTTAAGTCTACCATCCTTCCAAACTTTCAGTCTATATTTTCCTTCCTTTCCTCAAACTCCTAAAAACAATAACAACAACAACAAAAAACCCACCTACACTCACTGCCTCTACTTCCTTTCCTTTAACCCACTTCTTAACCCCTTGCAATCCAGCTCCCAACTTCATCATTCAACTGAAACTTTTCTCTTAAAGGATACCAATATCTCTTAATTATCAAATCTAGTGGCCTCTTCTCATTCCCCTTCATTTAGGACTTCTCTCCCCCAACTACTGGGTAGAGTGGGAGATTTGAGGGGAGTGTTGTATAGAAGATGGCACTTCAGTTAATCGTTAAAGAAAACTAGGGATTCCAAGAGGCAGAAGTGAAGAAAGTATGGGGTGTAGCCTGTGAAAAGACATGAAGATGGAAGAAGGAATGTAGTACGTGAAGAACAAGGCCAGTTTGACTGAAACATACAATAGGCAAAGAGAAGCAATATAGAGTATGGCTGGAAAGGTAGATAAGAATCCATTGTAAAGGGCTTTAAATGACAAACATAGGAATTAGTATTTAATCCTAGAGGTAATAACAGGAATTTATTTCAAGGAGCAGGAGGCAGGGAAGGGTGCCATCATGAGACTTTTGCAGCTATGTAGAGAGTATACTGGAGAGAGGTTACACATGAGGTAGGGAAACCAATAAGGAAACTTGACAGCTGATTGTATATGTAGGGTGAGTAATAATGAGGCAACGAAAATGAACCTGAGGTTGTGAACCTGAGGGAATGAAAGGATGATAGTGCCCACAAAAGATAGACAGAAATTCACATGAGTAGGGAGTTGGAGAGGGAAGGGGAATAATGAGTTGTCTTTGACATGCTGAGTTTGAGATGCTTAAAAGATATCAATTGAATATGTTCAATATGTGGCTGATGACGCAAGAATTGAACTCAGGAAGGAGAAAAGAGTTAGATGTTTAGACCTCAGACTTCTGACCAAGATGGCTTCCCAAGGCAGCTCAGCTCCCCCATATCTACTTAAGCAAAAACCTAAAAAATATTGATTAGGAAATTGATCAAGAAACTATAACAAGTGATTTCTTATACTCTACAGCTACAAAAAAGAAGTCATCCAGATGCCCTTAGGCAATAGGAAAGAAGGCTGTCAGCAAAGCCAGTGCCAATGTAAGAAAACAATCCAGCAGTCTCTCAACATGTCAAGAGGTGAGCCAGAGACACATACTGACAACATGATTCTGTCTCCCCCAGGTAAAGAGAATGGAGGACTCCCTTGAGAAATCTCCTGGGTGGCTAGAGACCCACAGAGGGTACCTTGGATGCTACAAGGGCATGGCAGCAACCAGTCTAGAGGTATAGCAGCATTCAGCCAGGAACACTCCAGACTTAGGTTCCTAGCACTCAGTCCTGAGACCATAGGGGACCCTGAAGATACAGCATTCTGAACCTCAAAAATCCAAGGGCGCTTAACCTGAGGAGGTAGAAGTTAGAACACGGAACTCAGATTATCCAAACTGAGAACAAAAAGAGTTGACCGCTCACTCAAAAGTACCACAGAAGGCAGAGTCTGGCCCTGGCACAAAGCCCCAATCAGGAACTAAAAGAGATGAGTAAGTAGGAGATATAGGCTGCTACAAAGAATTATAATATATCCAAAGATACACAAAAATGCAATCTAAAAGGAGAAAATAACTCCATAACAACTATAAGCAGAGACTCAAAGAAAAAAGTAGATTTTCCACAAGCACTACATGAATACCTGGAAGAAATTAAGCAAGTGATAAAAAATTAAATAAAAGCTCTGAAGGGGAAAAAAAAGTGAATGGAGGATAAATTGCTTAGAAGAGAAATTGGTGGAGAGGATTCTGGGAAGATGGCTGAGTAGCTCAGAAAATTTCAAGCTCTCAAGATTTTCCTCTACAAAAGAGATAAAATAGCACCTCTGGGCGAACATAGAGCCATGAAAACAAATAAGAGTAGGTGCAGAAGAGGGTTCCTCCTGGGACAGTTGGAGAAGATCTGAAGAAAAATCCTGGATGAGACTCCTTCCCTGTGAAGAGTAAACACCTCCAAGCTAGGGTCTGCTTTAACAATAAGTGGCAAGCCCTGGGGTTAGCTGGGTTGGGAGGCTGCCTCAGCTCCTGCTGCAGGAATTTTTACCCCAGGGACAATGAGGGGAGTTGGGCATCTGACCTGGGGAAGATGAAGGGAACTTCTGCTGACAAGGAATGTCAGACCCACTGGTGCTACACAGACAACGTGGATGAGGTGAGAAAGAACCAGTACAGAAGTAGTCGGGTAGGGACGCCTTTGCTGTGGGCACTTACAGGAGGCTGGAGGTATTGGTTTGAGTTCAAGGTCAGAAGGGAGAACTGAAGAGGACTAAAGGCACCATCCCACATGCCCCAGGACTAGAGGTGATTATAAAAACTAAATTATTACCCCTCCCAAAAAGAAAGCCACAGGCAAAGGAGAAAGAATCCAACCATACAGAGCTACTATGGGAATAGAAAAGATCAGGGTTTGTCTTCAGAGGAGGATACTCAAGCAAAGAAAGCCTCTTCTACCGCAAAGAGTAATGTCAAATGGTCACCTGCCCAAAAAGAATTCATAGAAAAACTTAAAAAAGACCAAAAATCAAATGAGAGAGATTGAGGAAAAACTGAAAAAAAAAAATAAGAAAAATTCAAGAAAAACAAGAAGATTATGAAAAGAAAGTCAACCAATTAGAAAAGGAAATCCAGAATCTTGAGGAAAAAAATGACTCCCTGAAAATCAGAATTGGACAAGAGGAAGCCAGCAAAGTTTAAGAGATGAAGAAATAAAAAAACCCAAAACATTAAGAATGAAAAAATAGAAGAGAAGGTAAAACATATCATAAGAAAAACAATGGATCTAGAGAACAGATCAAAAAGAGAAAACATAAGAATAATTGGACTACCTGAAAGTTCTAATCAAAAAAAGAATCTTGATACAGTAATACAAGAAATAATTAAAGAAAATTGTCCTGAAGCATTGGAACAAGAAGGGAAAATAAAAATAGAAGAAATCCACCAATCACCTGAAAGAGCTCCTAGGAGGAAAACTCACAGGAATATTATAGTCAAATTCCAAAACCCCCAGATCAAGGACAAAATATTACGAGTGACAAGAAAAAAACAATTTATATCTGGAGGTACCACGATTAGAATCACACAAGACCTAGCAGGGGCAACACTAAAAGATCACAGATCTTGGAATACTATATATCAAAGAGTAAAAGAACTGGGTTTCCAGCCAAAAATATCATACCCAGAAAAGCTAAGCACAATTCTGAATGAAAAAAAAAATGGACATTTGATCAATTGTCAGACTTTCAGGTTTTTATTAAAAAAAAAAAAACCCTGAACTCAATAGAAGATTTAATATACAAGAGCCAAGAGAAATATAAGGTACATACCAATGACCAATTATAAGGGACTAAATAAAGATAGAATGTTTACCTTTTACGTATGAAAAATGTAACACCTATGTCTAAGATTGTCCCTAGTAATTAGGTAACTTATAAGGAAGATTGGGGTAGAACTGAGTATGATATGACTTCAAAAAGTAAAACCATTCAAGTACAGATAAAAATTACCTTTTACAAATGAGGTGAAAGAGGAAGAACCAATACAGAGGAATTAGATGTGGAAGGGGGCTGTTAGTTCTGGAAACCTACTCTCATCGGGAATTGGTTTAAGATGGGGAAACACATATACATTTAGAAGAGTATAAAGGTCTTTTAAATTCAGAAATAAAATTCTAAGGGGATAAGGAGAGGGGAGAAGATAAAGAAGGAATCTTTAGATGGGAGGGAATAGGTCAAAAGGGGGATATAGAAGAGGGTTTAGATTTAGAGGAATGGGAGGATAAGGGAGGGATTGCTGGAGTAGGGGTAGGTTAAGTAGGGTAAGTAGGTAAGTAGGAGGATAAGGTAGCAGGTAGAAGTAAAGTAGAGGAGTTAAGAAAGATAGGAAAAAAGAGATATGCACAAATATAAAAACAAAGATTAGGAGTAGAATCTCTTAGGGAAAATACATGTTTATATATGTATGTATGCATGTATATATGTGTGTGTGTGTGTATGTGTGTGTATCAATACCTATATATAAATATATCCAATGTTCAATTGTAACCTTGGGGTGATGGGCAGGAGGGAGGGAGGGGGAAAAAAGAACAAAGTAAAAAGTGTACTGCAGAGAACAAAAGAAACCTACAAGGAAGCAAAGAAAGCTTTCAACAATGCACAGTATTTAACATATAGGCTTTCTTGAAATGAAAAGTTATTGCTATATATTTTGAATCCTCTCCTATGTTCTGCTGTACACGTGACATGTTTTGTTTTTTTTCCTTATTTTATATTCAAGTTTACAATGTTTCTTTTCTTTTCTTATTATGTATTTAAGTTTTAGCATTTGTCCAAAATTTTAAAAAAAATTAAGGAAAAAAAGAAGAGAACTTGGCATAATCAGGCTTCCAAGCATGGTGTATTTTCATGCTGCTGCACAGGAATATCTCTAGTTTTAGAGAATAGTAACAGCAGGGCACATGTCTGTGTAAGGATGCAGTAGGTGCTAGAACTTTGGAAAGAAGAAACATTTATCAAAAGGATATGTTAGGTTCCAAAAATAAGTCCTTGGGGACCAATTCTGGATACATGGAGAGAAAGAAATAGTCTCTGGAAATGGCAGACAAATAAGGAAGGAAATCCCTCAATATGTCCCTGATTTCTA